CCCCTCTCGGAGAGCCCGGCAAGCTACCGAGAGTATTCGTTATGCCAGACACAGTAACAACAAAGTCTCCAATGGAGACGTTACTGGGCCCGCTCGAGTGTTTTTGTGTATGTGTGATTGATGAAAGTATCTATTCTGTTGCTATCGGATAGATTGTTCTCTCTATATATTTATGTTGAGTCCCTTTAAAGTATAGCTCATATTTATCATTTCATCATGGATGTTCTGATTAGATAATGTACTTACTGTTAGAAAGGGAATTGAAATCTTCTGTTGTTGTTGCTCTGTCATTTCTATGTACCGATCTGTATGTAGCTGTTAGAAAAGATGAAGTCATGAAATTTACATACAAGTGGTACAACATGGAAAGTATCATGCTAAGCGAAATGAGTCAGAAAGAGAGGGATAGACATAGAAAATTGCATTCATCTCGGGGACATAAAGTAACAAAATATGAGATTAATACCCAAGAATAGCTGAGATCAGCACCAGGAGGATTACTCCATAGCTTAGTGGCCAGTCGGGCATTCTAGATGAAAGGGCAATTCAGATAGAGAAGGGAGCACCAAATAAAGGGTGTTTGGAGGATCCTCCCAGGAGGGGAGATGCATGTCGAAAGTGGACTATGGACTGAACGTGTTTGCCACTCAATGCCTCTTTTGCAGACCACAACACCCAAAAGGAGAGAGAGAACACAGGGGATTGCCCTGCCACAGAGGCAGGGGGGGATGGGGGGATGGGGGTGGGGGGATATTATCCATGGTGGTGGAAAATGGGCACTGGTGGAGGGATGGGTTTCTGATCATTGTATAATACCCAAGCACAAAAAATTGTAAATCTACAACTGTACCTCATGGTGTTTCACTAAGGTAAAGGTAAAGGCCCTCCCGTTGATCGTCGATTTGCTCGAGCGGGCCCAGTAACGTCTCCATTGGAGACTTTGTTGTTACTGTGTCTGGCATATCAAATACTCTCAGTAGCTTCCCGGGCTCTCTGAGAGGGGTGGAGGATTCGAACTCGGGTCGGCCATGTTGACCACTTGTAAGGCGAACACCCTACCCGCTGTGCTATCACTCCAGCCCAGCCCATGGTGTTTCACTAATAAAAAAAAATGAAAAAAAAAAGAAAAAAAAAGAAGGATTTACTAAAAAAAATAATTGTTTAGAGCATTTCAAATTTAATTATGTATTCATTTTGCAGGTATATGTCTTTCAATTTGTCAATACTTGTAATTAGGAAGCATTTTCTTCTTACTTATGAAGAATGGATTTGGAAATTTGGGTGAACACTGGATGAACATTGAATGCTTGTGTGAGAGTCTAAGCTTAAGAATTTTCCCTCATGGTGAATTAAGAGGAAATCATAAAAGTGTCCATCTCTCTGAAGAGTTTATTATCCCATAATTGTGTTTAACTGGAAGAGGAAGAGAATAGGTTACATCTTGATTGAATGAAAATTTTAAATAAAAAGTTATAACATTGTTTAAAAATCTAAAAGCATCAATAACCAATATCAGGGGTGAATCGGAAAATTAGAATATTAGAAAAATATCTAATATCAGCTATCTAATATCAAAAATATCAGAAAATTAGCATAAGAAATGGTAATATCTATTAAGGGGTTATACATTGCAAGAAACTGTTTCAAGTATTTTACATTAATTTTTCTAACACTTTCTGAAATTAACTTTGTTATTAACCCTGTTTCACTAGTGAGAAAACTAAGAGTGACTGGACAAACCCAAAACTATACAGCTGAGAAGCAGTAAAACTAGCATTTGAAGCAAGAGTCTGACAATATATGCTCTTCATTGTATGTAAGACATATCAACATTTTTATTTGTGTAATTTAACATTCTAAGTTATCTCCATCTACAAATGGCCAGTAGTCTATTTAGCCCTGGTACAGACAGGTAATTTAACAGTAAATGCATAAACTCTGAAGTTTCAGAATCTTATAAAATCTGTGATTTTGGTAGAATTACATTACTGTACCTTAGTGTGTATATGTATGCATACAATTGCATCCACCTCAAGGGTTACTGTGAGAATAAAATGAGTTTAGAATTTATTGTACCCACAACTTAGTAGCAGTGTAGCACTGTCCTCCTGCTGTTCATTGATCTGCTCAAGCAGGCGCCAGTAACGTCTCCATTGTGAAACTTGTTGTTACTGTTTTTGGCATCTTGAATACCCCACAGGGAGCTTGCCAGTCTCTGCCATGTGTGTGTAGCTTTCCAGGCTCTCTGAGAGGGATGAAGAAATCGAACCCGGGTCAGCCGTGTGCAAGGCAATGCCCTACTCGCTGTGCTATCGCTCGAGCCGCCTCACAACTTAGTATTAATAATGTATCCTCCCACCCAGATTTAATATAAATATTATTTCTAATCGACTGTAAAATGTTCTTAAATTTGTGTCTTGCAATAGTTTTCTAAGGAAGGCTTTGGGAATTTAAATTTGTTGAAAATTAAAAACATTTGTGGGGCCAGAGTGATAGTATTGGCACATAGGGTGTTTGCCTTGCACCTAGTTAACCTGGATTCAGTCCCTGGCATCCTATGTGGTCTCCTTAAAACTGCCAGGAGTAATTCTTGAGTGCTTCACTTAATCACTTAACTTCCCGTCAGTCGTCGATTTGCTCGAGCGGGCGCCAGTAACGTCTCCATTTGTCCCTGTCGCGTGCTAGTGTAGCCCAATGGCATCTGTTCGCTCTGGGAACATGAAGAGCCTCAAACCAATCGTTCATGATCTTGATGAAGAAGCCTGACCATCTGGTAGGTGGGCGTACACGCGGTCTTTTGACATCCCGTGGGATCCAGTCGGTAACAGCTCTACTCCAGTGGTCGTCTTCAAAATCTCATTATGTGACCAGCCCATCTGATTTTTGACACCTTGGCAAATGAGACAGCATCCCTGATTCTTGGAACCTCCGGCTTGAGTGCTTAGCCAGGAGTAATCCCTAAGCATCACTGGCATGACCCAAAGGCCAAAAAAAATTAATTAAATTAAATTAAAACATTTTCAAGACCACTCCTAAAGTTCACCACTTATGACTATTTAAGCTAGTCTATTCAAATGTTGCGGGAAGTTTTGTTAGCCTTCCTAATAGCAGCACTTATTTACTGATACTTTGGATTCTATTCTTCTGATAAAAAACAAAAACATAGTTTTCTCATGTACATTAAAGTTCTTTCTTGTGCTCTTTCCTGCAATCAAGATTTCTTCTGCCTGATAAAGCCTTTGTTTCTTTTTTCAGTTTTAAATTTGGAACATCACCTATGCCCCCAATTTTCTTTAAAAGAAAAAACCTTCCTCTTCCTACCAACTAATTAGTTTTCTGGGAATTCTCTGGTCATGACTCGCTACTAAATCTTTTAAAGCAGGGCTTCAAAAACATACTGTTTCAGAAATAAATGATATCATTCAATAAATGTATAAAATAGTTTCACTAAAGGTTACTACCTCTTCCAGAAAGAGACTGTTTTAGCATGGGGTGTGCAATAGCTCAAAAGGCCAGAGTGCATGCTTTGCACACAGGAGGCCAAGGGCTTGATTGCCTGTACAGCATGCTTCTGCAAGCACCACCGGAAATGACCCTTGAACACTGAGCTGGGAGTAATCACTGAACACCATTAGGTGTAGCCTACAAAACAAAGGCACTATTTCTCTCATTTTTTGATATTTAAAATATACAAAATAAAATAAAGAAACAGACTTCTTAAACCAGCCACTAAATATATCATAGAAAACTAGTGCATACTTTAAAATTGCCCCACTGCCTTCTATCAAGTGATTCATTTCCCTGTTTTATCTGAAGTTCTGGAACTTATCCCATCATTTACATGTTAATTAATGGAAAAAATAAAGCACTTTATAATTTCTCATTTGAATATATGGTGGTCTCTGCAGAATAAAATGAATTTCCACACCATGAGGACACATTTGTGATTGGTTAGGTACAATTGAAGTTTATAATAGTGAAATTTTAAGTGGAAAATTTCCACATGGCAGAGTGTGACTAATCCAAAATGCAGAAATGGTGAAAACTTAAATTAAAAAATTCATCTTTTGGGGCTGGAGCAATAGCACAGCAGGTAGGCTTTTGCCTTGCACGCGGCCAACCCGGGTTCGGTTCCCAGCATCCCATATGGTCCCCTGAGCACCACCAGGGGTAATTCCTGAGTGTAGAACCAGGAGTAACCCCTATGGATCGCCAAGTGTGACCCAAGAAGAAAAAAAATTCATCTTTTTTCTGCAATAGCACTTCTTCCAGCTGATTCTAGGAACTACCTGCTGTGCTATTCAGCCCCTCCCCCCCCAGAACTTTTAATGATTTAAAACCACATTTGTCTGAAGAAGCCAGCCAACTAACTAGATGATTCAGAAATAATTAGGTATGATGTAGGTTAAGAAGATACTTAACTTAAAGTGGTAATGGTGTTTGACTATCAATATTTTTTCTGCCAAATTTATTGTCTGCATACATGTGGCATAGAATATGAAGAAATTTGGGTATGGTGTTGTAATTGTATATACCGGAAACGATTATAAATCAAACAGATCTGTGCCACAGCTTGCTACTCCACCCTTTGATAATAATATCTGGCTGAGATTGCCGACTATTCTCGGAATGGAAAGCCATACGACAGATCTACTCACAAATTTTACAGTGCTCATAGTTACACTTCTTAACACTGGATGAATACAGACAGAAAAGGAAAAGAGAAGCTCCAAGCCTAATCCTTCAGACTCTCTCAAAGGTTTTAACTACAAAGACTCACCTTTAGCACAGCAGGAATACTGAATAACAAATGGGGGAGATGCATAGAAATGCACCAATTCAATGAGCAAAATCAACACGAAGGCACAACCAACACCAACCAGCTCTGTAAATCCTCAATGACTTCACTGTCACCACCACAATGGTGAGGATATTTAATAAACTTAAAGAAATGATGGCATAGGTAGTCAGCAAAACACAAGAAAGTATGGAGAGTCAAAATGAGAAAACTGCAATTAGAATACATGACAGAAATGAAGAGTACGGTAGACTATATATATATATTTTTTTTTTAAAAAAAAACTCATTAGAATCTCTGAATAACAGCAAAATAACAGCAGCTAAGCAAAAGATGGAAAAACTCTAAGATGAGGTGGAGGAAACTTCTAAAAAACAGCAGAAGGTGGGAGAAAATCTGAAAAAAGAATCAGCAGCACATCAGAAAACTTTGGGATGAGCTTAAGAGGAACATATAAGAGTTATCTGAGTCCCTGAGGACCAAGAAGGCAAATTTGATGAAGAACCTATTGTTAAAGAAATAATAGTTAAGAATGTGCCAGAGTTGAGGAATCTAGGCAACCAAATGCAAGAGACCCAAAGAAGAAAACTCCAAGACACACTGTTTTTAGAATGACAAAAATCAGAGTATTGAAAGCAGCAAGACCCAGAAAAGAACTTATACCGTAGATCTGTTGAAAATCTTATGGACTTTCTTTTGTATATAAGACTTTGAGTCAGAAGATCGGAGGAATATATCATAAAAATTCAACAAAATGAACACCTCACCAAGAATATGCTATCATTATCATTCATATTTGAAGGAACAATACAGAGCTTCATGGACAGGCAATAGCTTGGGGGAATTCATAGCCTTGAAAGTGGTTTTGCAAGGAGCATTAGAAGATTTTCTTTAGGACAAACTTCCCAGCACATGGCACTGAATATGGCACTCACTCGTGGCACTTCCATTTGCCCTCTACTAGATCAAGAAAGGTATGTGTACTCCTACCTTGCTGAAGGATTTTATACATTTTCAATAATGAATTGATGTCTCATTTATATTGAATGTTCTATATCTTATTAGGCTTTTAAAATATCCAGAGATTTTACTTATTAGTTCAGATACATAAACTGGATCTATAATACAGTATTTTTAATATAAAACCAATATTCTCTTTGGTAGGATAAAGCACATTCTTTTATAGACCTATTCAGATTTTTCCCTTTAAATTTTCTTAATTTTCTTCACTCTGACTAAATTTTACATTTTTACAATGTACCCATATTATGTAAATTCTAAATGTATTTACCATAGAATTATCCACACTTCACTTGATCACTTGACTTCCCATTAATCGTTGATTTCCTCGAGCTGGCGCCAGTAATGTCTCCATTTATCCCTATCGCGTGCTAGTGTAGCCCAATGGCATCTGTTCGCTCTAGGAACATGAAGCCTCAAACCGATCGTTCATGATCTTGAGGAAGAAGTCTGACCATCTGGTAGGTGGGCGGCCACGCAGTCTTTTGACATCCCGTGAAATCCAGTCGGTAACAGCTCTAGTCCAGCGGTCATCTTTAAATCTCATTACGTGACCAGCCCATCTGATTTTTGACACCTTGGCAAATGAGACAGCGTCCCTGATTCTTGATCGTTGACGGATGTCGGAACTCCAGATTCTTTCTCTCATTTGAGTGAAACGTGATATTCCAAGCATAGCTCTTTCAATTCCTCTTTGGGAGACCTGAATAGCGTTCTCATCTTGTTTGCGTAGGGCCCAGGTCTCTGAGGCATATGTTAATGCAGGAAGAACAGTGGAATCAAAGAGATGTGCCCGGAGCCGGAGGTTCTTTGTCCTCTTAGCTATTTCTTCGAAGCTCTTGAAGGTGTTCCAAGCCGCTTTCTTCCTCCTGCACAGCTCGGGTGCCAGGTCATTTGTCATGTTAACTTCTCGACCTAGGTACACATAGCTGTTGCATTCAGAGATGGTCGTTCCGTTGAGAGCGAATGGAACATCAGGAACGAGGCTGTTTCTCATAAACATTGTCTTCGTAAGATTCAGCTGTTAATCCATCAGAATTATCCACAATAGTCTTTAAATTATCACAAATCACAAATCATCCTGTTATTCGTCAATTGCCTCGAGCAGGCCCCAGTAACGTCTCCTTCATCCTAGCCTTGAGATTATATTCAAGGCTCTTTAGGAGAATGAGACCCATCATTGTTACTGGTATTTGGCATATTGGGTACGCCACGGGGAGTTTGCCAGACTCTACTGTGTGGGCAGGTTACATTTGGTAGCCTGCCAGTTTGTCAAAGTAGGAATGAGATGTCTTAATAAGATGTCGCGCAGTTGCGAATGCGGCCGTGCGGTTCCAGGACCTGGTTTTTATAGTCTCTGAATCTTGGCCGCTGATGGGATTACATAGCGCCAGGGGGCCAGTTGGTGGGTGTGACCCCCGCCTACTGGAATTTGGAGGATCTGGGTGGAGGATGCTCGACTCCAATCCGAGTAGGCTTGGAGATCTCGGCCCCGGAAGCCACGTGGCTTTGTCCCTCTGCCGGTACCTTCAGGTGTGTGGAGAGTGGTCTCAGCATGGTGGTGGCTGGACCTGGAGGTCTTCGGCTGCCAGGGACCTGGTCAGGGCGGGGAGGAAAGCTCAACCCGCTCCCCTCCAAGGGGCCCTGGCGAGGAATAGCCAGGTGCGGGGGCAGGAGACTGCACTGTTGTCTTCCGGGAGCTGGTTTTTATAGTCTCTACGTACCCCCTACCTGGGCAGCAAGATCAGCCTCATCTCCAAGGCACAGATCTGCTACGAGGGCATCCTCTACACCATCAACACCGACAACTCCACCGTGGCGCTCGCCAAAGTCAGGGCCTTCGGCACCAAGGACCGCCCCACCGACCGGCCGGCGCCGCTGTGCGAGGAGGTCTACGAGTACATCATCTTCTGGGGCAGCGACATCAAGGACATCACTGTGTGCGAGCCGCCCAAGGCGCCGCACGCGCTGCCCCAGGACCCGGCCATCGTGCAGCCCCACGTGCCTTATAGCCCCTTCCGCGGGATGCCCCCCTACAGCCAGCTGGCCGCCAGCTCCCTGCTCAGCCAGCAGTATGCCGCCTCCCTGGGCCTCGAGAAGCTGGTGAGTCCTCCGGCCTCAGCCGCCGCCTCCAGCCCTAGCTCCTCTTTAAATTATATAACTAAGAAAATTTAGTTTTTGAAAAGGAATTTTATTTTTTGGTTACAATTTTGTAGAATTTTAGGAGATTAGCTCTATTCATCTATATATGTGTATGTATTACCTCCTCCACACACACAAAAAAGAACAAACAGAAGAGAGATATATCCTACATGCATAGAGTGGGAATAAACATAGTATAAGAACAACAAATGGGTTGGAACGATAGTACAGCAGGTAGGGCGTTAGCCTTGCATGCGGCCTATCTGGGTTCGATTCCCAGCATCCCATATGGTCTCCTGAGCAGTGCCAGGAGTAGTTCCTGAGCACAGAGCCAGGGGTAATCCCTGTGCACTGCCAGGTGTGACCCCCCCAAAAATAACAATAAATGGTAAAAGTAATTGAAATGGAAAATATTGTCTGTTAATCTGAGCATACATAGGGTAAGGTTAGGGGGGTTGGGATGGGTTCCTGGGACATCCTTGAAGGAAAGTCAGCTCTTTGGTGTGGTGCTGGAATAATGTGTGCATGAAAAATGGGATGAACCATTTTGTAAATCCTGATATCTTAATAAAAATGGACTGTAGTATTGTCCTCCCATTGTTCATCGATTTGCTCGAGCAAGCACCAGTAACATCGCCATTGTGAAACCTGTTGTTACTGTTTTTTGGCATATTGAATACGTCAAAGGTAGCTTGCCAGGCTCTGCCATGTGGGAGGGATACTCTCGGTAGCTTGCCAGGCTCTTCGAGAGGGACAGAGGAATCGAACCCAAGTTGGCCGCATGCAAGGCAAATACCCTGCCCACTGTGCTCCAGCCCATAATCCATGTGCAAAATAATTATGTGCACAAAATTGCTGGTCCAGCTGACAGTCAAACGGATCAAGAGGGAAGGGGAGGATCAAACAAACTACATACAAGTGGTTGAGAGGGCTGAGTTCTCATGGAACAGCAGTATTGATCTTTATTTCAGAAAGCCTCTCATACATCTCTATCAGGAACTTGGCAGGTAAAACTCATCCTTTGTAATTGCAAAAAACATATTCCGAAGGTCATACATAAATTTCTTAGATGGTAACAAGCATAGGAAGCATAATATAATGAAACCAATGTTACTTGGATCAGTAACAGGAAATAAGAACAAGGTAGAAATAATAACAAAGTATTCTGAAAAACACTCTGACCCTTCCTGTGTACTTTTCATGATTTACCAAAGGTGCAATTTCCTGCATATGCCACAAAATCACAGTGAGTGCATCCATTTCTTATTAACTTCTCTTGCAAACTGAGGATGATGAAATATTAACTTCTCTGTAGGCTTGAGTTAGTGACATAATGATTAATCCACATATGAGAGGTGGCTATGCCAAGTACACTTGGCCCTCGGAATGAGGCAGCTTCCCGAGCTAGGTCCACTTAAGGACCCTGCATAAGCAGGCAGCTCCCTACACAAAATAATTATGTGCACATAACGCATGTGAACATAATCTATGTGCGAAAAAATGTATTGTAAATTGAAGTACTTCATAGTCAATAATTTTTAAAGAACTGAATACAGGAATTTTAATAAGGTTACCCAGATAGGCAGCTATTGAATTGTAGAAAATTCTCAAAAAGAGAAGCATCACACTAGAAAATTAATGTATTCCATGAGGAAAGTCATGACCTAAATGAGCAAAACAGCTCTTCTTGTGGATACATTAAGACTTCAAAAGCTGGAGCGATAGCACAGCGGGTAGGGCGTCCGCCTTACAAGCGGCCAACATGGCCGACCCGAGTTCAATTCCTCCGCCCCTCTCGGAGAGCCCGGCAAGCTACCGAGAGTATTCGATATGCCAGACACAGTAACAACAAAGTCTCCAATGGAGACGTTACTGGGCCCGCTCGAGCAAAAATATACTTAATGATTTTGAAAGTAAGCTAGCTCTTATGGACTACCTGTACACAATTTATCATAATCTACCCTTGTAGTATCTTTTTTTTAGTGTTTTTTGTAAAAAATACTAAAATATTTTTATATTTTTATTACTAAAATATTTTAGCATTTATTTTTATTACTAAAATGTCTTTAGTATTTTTTTAAAAAATATTTTTCTATTAACGATGTAGGATTTTATTGTTGCTGTTGTTGTTTGCATTTTGGCACCTTCCAAACTACCCAAAAGGTTCAATAAGCTACTCCCAGTGTTACTTGACATAGTTGTGCTGGAACCCAAGGATGTGGTGCTATAGGGGGACTCTGCAGTGCTGGGGTCAGAAGGACTACCCAGATGACACTCTGTGTTCTCCAGGATCACATCTGGTTATGTCTAGGCCATTTGGTGCCAGGACTCCAACTCAAGTAAGTTGTATGCAAGATATATGTCCTACTCCCTGTACTGATAACCTTGGGCCTTAGGAATATGTTTTCCAGAAGTAACAGGGAAAATCAGAAATAGTGTGATAATATTAAGGAGCTAAGAAAAAAATAACTAAAAATTTGAATTATTTACCTCCAACTTTGTCTTTGAAAAATAAAACAGACTCAATTCAGATAACTTTAAGATAGAAAATACTAAGGATATAGTCACTGAAGGAAAAAAATGACACAGAAGCAAGGTTGAAATTCCATAGGAAAGGCAGGTGTCTTTAAATGAAGAGGAACTAAGTTTGAGAGAAAAAGCTGACAAATGGTAGAATAAAAATCGTGGAAAAAATCTAAATTGTTTATGACATTATTGTATCAGTAAACCAAGAAATCAAAATTCACCCTATTTTATTTATGTCTTATTTTCTTATATTTTTTGATGGGGGGGGGTCACACACAGCTGTACTCAGGACTTACTTCTGGCTCTGCACTTAGAGATCTCTCCTGGTGGGGCTCAGAGAACCAAACGTGGTGCCAGAGATTGTACTTAGGTCTGCCACATGCAAGGCAAGCACCATACTCACTGTTCAATTGCTCCAGCCCCTGAAATCACCCTATTTTGTAACTTTTAATTAAAGTAATTGTCCCAAATCTTAGAGACTGGGAACATATGCATGTGTGTGACTCAAGAAAGTAGTAACAGGATCAGGGAGATAGCTCAGAGGGCTGGAGCACATGCTTTGTATTCAGGAGGCCTGGGTTTGATCCCTGACACCTCAAAGTCACTCTTTTATTTCTTTTTGGGTCACACCTGGAGATGCACAAGGGTTATTCCTGGCACTGCACTCAGAAATTACTCCTGGTGGTGTTTGGGGGTCCATATGGGATGCTGGGAATCAAACCCGGGTAAGGCCGCATGCAAGATAAATGCCCGACCTGCTGTGCCCACTCCAGCCCACAAAGTCACTCTTGAGAACTATCAGGCATGGTGCAAACACCTCTAAAAATGTTTTAAAATCACTTATCACTTAACTTCCCGTTAGTCGTCGATTTGCTCGAGCGGGCGCCAGTAACGTCTCCATTTGTCCCTGTCGCGTGCTAGTGAGGCCCAATGGCATCTGTTCGCTCCGGGAATATGAAGAGCCTCAAACCGATCGTTCATGATTTTGACAAAGAAGTCTGACCATCTGGTAGGTGGACGGCCACGCGGTCTCTTGACATCCCGTGGAATCCAATCAGTAACAGCTCTAGTCCAACGGTCGTCTTTAAATCTCATTACGTGACCAGCCCATCTGATTTTCGACACCTTGGCAAATGAGACAGCGTCCCTGATCCTTGATCGTCGACGGATGTCAGAACTCCGGATTCGTTCTCTCATTTGAGTGAAACGTGATATTCCAAGCATGGCTCTTTCTATTCTTCTTTGGGAGACCTGAATGGCGTTCTCATCTTGTTTGCGTAGGGCCCAGGTCTCTGAGGCATATGTTAATGCAGGAAGAACAGTGGAATCAAAGAGATGTGCCTGGAGCCGGAGGTTCTTCGTCCTCTTAGCTATTTCTTCGACGTTCTTAAAGGCGTTCCAAGCCCCTCTCTTCCTCCTGCGCAGCTCGGGTGCCAGGTCATTTGTCATGTTGACCTCTCGACCTAGGTACACATAGCTGTTGCATTCGGAGATGGTCGTTCCATTGAGAGCGAATGGGGCGTCAGGAACAAGGCTGTTTCTCATAAACATTGTCTTCGTAAGATTCAGCTGTAGTCCTACCTTTCCACACTCACGGTCAAAGTCGGCCAGCATTTGTGCCGCTTGGCTGATGTTTGGTGTTATTAAAACAATGTCATCAGCAAAGCGGAGGTGGTGTAGTTGCCGACCATCTATCTTCACTCCCATTCCTTCCCATTCCAGTCGTCGCATGATGTTCTCGAGGGTGGCACTGAAGAGTTTCGGTGAAATAGTATCACCCTGCCGCACCCCTCTCTTGACATCAACGATCACTTCTTTGTAGAATGGTGAGATCCTGGTAGTGAATCCGCAATACAGCTCACGGAGGATCCTGATGTATTGGGCTTGAATGCCCTGATTGGCTAGGGCTTCAATGACCGCTTCCGTCTCAACCGATTCAAAGGCCTTCTTTAAATCAATGAACGTTAAGCAGAGCAGCATCTTGAACTCTCAAGAAACCTCAATGAGCTTGGTTACCGTGTGGATATGGTCGATGGTGCTGAATCCTTTGTGGAACCCTGCTTGCTCGCATGGTTGTCCTTCATCTAGTGTTCTGCCAATCCTATTCAGGATGACTCGAGTGAACAACTTGTAGATGACAGACAATAGGCAGATCGGGCGATAGTTGCCAATGTCATGGATGTCTCCCTTCTTGAACAGTAGTACGGTCCTGCTGGTTTTCCATTGGGACGGAACCTTGCATTCAGACAGGTAGCGAGTGAAGAACCAAGCCAGTGTATTGATGAGTACTGACGGCAGGTTCTTCAGGTGTTCAGGTCTGACCTTGTCTGGGCCGGGTGCTGTTTGTTTCTTTACCGAAAATATGGCATGTTGGATTTCGGAAGGGAGAATGTTGGGAAAGACATACCCATCCTGTGGAATTTGGCATGTCGGCAAGTGGACATGGCTATCGAAGAGATTTGAGTAGAAGTCATGGATAATCTTCTCCATTGCCGTTCTGGAGGATG